TAGCCGATAAGAAACTAGTAACTGGCCAACAGAATTATATAAAATACAGAGTCTCTGTGTGTTAATTGGGGCTGATGCGGAGGCGGGACAAGACCAGGCGGCGGGCGGAAAAACCATACTCGTTACAGCCTTTACTATACAAGAGGGAGGTATTCGTTTGTGTGAAACAGATATCAATAACTTTTTCATCTCTGTACTCATCGAATACTGCCCGGTACTACTTTCAAACATTACTCAAAGTTGAACTTTATCAGCTCAGCCTACAGATGGGCAGTGTTCTGTTCCCGTCCTGTTGGTTAAGCATTACAGTGTTCAGCTAGCTCTGACTCCCACCTGTGGGGCGATCCCACAAGCTTCTAGATTTGTCATTATGAAGAAGAGAAGGAATGGTTCCTAACCCCAAAGAGAACTCCTCCTTGGCTCCTGAGCAGCTTCCAACCCAAATTAGCTTAACTTCCTCATTGTGTGTTAGTTCTCTCTAGTGCTAGAGACTCTTCAGAGAGGAGAGCCAAAGGCACAGCCGCAGGGGCCTAGAGATGACAGACTTTCTAATGGCAGCCGTGTTCTGACATGTCTCGATTACACTGGCTTCCACCGTTGCTACTGTCTGCCTAAACTGTCAGCTGTCTCACTATGATGACAGAATTTCTTTCCTGCCTGGTCCCATGACCATTTCATCCCCCATAAACACGCAAAGGCTTGTATTAATTATAAAGTGCTTGGCCTATGGCTCAGGCTTCTTATTGGCTAGCTCCCTCTTAATTATTAACCCATATCCACTCACCTATGTATTTCCCCATGGTCTGGGGCTCACTGGTGATGCCTGGTCCCTTTTCTTCCTCAGCAGCTACATGGCGTCTCTTTGGCGACCCTCATGGGATCTTCTCTGCCTTCCTTTACCTAGTCTGGTAGCCACACCCATACTTCCTGCCTGGCTACTGGCCAATCAGCATTTTATTAAACCAGTAAGAGAAACAGGTATTCACAGCATACAGAAAGAAGGACATTCCCCATCGCATACCTTGCCCTTCCTGCCTCAGGCAGAAGCATCTGCAGCATTGCTGACTTCTGCTTTCTCTTCTGGGAGCCCGCCTGGCTGCAAACGGTGCTAGAGTTTAGCAGGGAGCTTGGGAACAAAATGAGGTTCCACTTCCTCTGAATACCCAGCAGCTAGTGCAGCCACTGGCCCATGGTGGGCATTTAAGACACTTCGCTGGCTGCTTTTTCCATGGGAAACAACAATGTAGTGGGTGACCCTGTGCAGCAGGAGAAAGGTGTCCTAGGACGGGGGTGGGAGGGGCAGCCACTGCCTTAGGGGCCGTGGTGTCGGTCAAGGCCATGGGGCTCCTGGAGGTAAAACAAGGAGTGGATCTTTGTCACCAAGCTGGGCTGCCTGGTCAAGGTCATGAAAATCAAGTCCCTGGAGACCTGCTTGTTCCCCTACCCACTAAGGAATCTGAGATTGTGGCTTTTTCCTGGGCACATCCCAAGAGGATGAGATTCTAAAGATCGTGTCCATGCAGAAGCAGCAGACCAGGTTCAAAGCTTTTGACACATTGGCAACTACAATGGTTATGTTGATCTTCGTGTTAAGTGGTCCAAGTAGCCTCTGCCATCATCTTGGCCAAGCTTTCCATTGTGCCTGTGTGGGTAGGGTACTGGGGGAACAAGATTGGCAAGCCCCACACTGTTCCATGCAAAGTGGCAGGCCACTGTGGCTCTGTGTTGGTGGCCTCATCTCTGCCCCCAGAGGCACTGGAGTCATCGCTACCACGATGCCCAAGGAGATACTGATGATGGCCAAGGAGATACTGATGATGGCCTGCATTGATGACTGCTACACATCAGCCAGGGGCTGCACTGCCGCCCTGGGCAACTCTGCCAAAGCCTCCTTTGACGCCATCCTACAGCTACCTGACCCCTGACCTCTTATCAGGAATTCTCTGACCATCTTATGAAAACCCTCAGGGAGCCTCTGTTCAGAGGACCCAGGCTCTAGCTGCAGCCACCACGTGAAGGTTTTTATAAAAGAAAAATAAAGTGAATTAAGTCTGTTGAGAGAGAGAGAGATTTTCTGAGGCTGGGGTCCCAGATGCATCTCCCAGCATCCCACGGGCTCACAATTGTCTATGACTCTAGTTCCAGGGGATCCAGCAGCCTCTGGTGGCCTCCGCTGGCCCTAGGCACACGTGGTTCCAGACCACAGGCAGAGAAACACTCACACACATAAAATAAGTCAGAAAGGGGGCATTCTGAGAGGAAACGAGCTGGAGCGATAAAGCGAAATGAAGTGTCTTAGAGAAAAGCCCCCCCCCCCCTTCCTTTCTTCCCTGCATTGGAATTTGACTTTGAAACACCCCGTCTAAGGGTGAGGGCGGTTATGACACAGGCGGAGGAGGGAATGCTGGCCTTCACAGGGACAATCGGAAGGGCTTTAACCTCAAGTTGGGTGTGTGTGGGTGGGGTAGGTCTGAGACTGCTGGGAAGCTGAGCGGCTTGGGGGTGTGAGGTAGGTAGGGCAGAGGGTAGAGGAAAAGCAAGCGAAGGGGAGAGAGCAGCACTTCCTGATGCAGAGGCTCAAGGTTGAGTGGAGCTGGAGAAACTGAACAGCTCTGAGGGCGTGGCGCAAGGAGGGCGTGGTGGGAGAGGAGGGAGAGGAGGCCTAGGAAAGAGGGCCCTGTGATGGATCAGCAGTGAGCGTGGTTAATCGCAAGGCGCAGGAAGAGTGATTGGAGCAGAGTGATGGGAGTCCTAGTTTGGTGGGAAGTCACCCCATCTGCAGTGGAATAGAAGGAGCTGGAGCGATGAGGGTCTGGTGCATTTAGTGTGGTGCTGGGTGCGACCGTCACTGTGTCGGGACAACGTGGGGTAGAACCCGAACCGCAGAAACATACAGCGATGCCATTGTATTTTACCTCACCGCTGTCTCTTGCTCAGGCCGCAGCTGGACAGGTGCTGTGTGGCAGGGGGGAGAGGAACTCAGGCCCAAGCTGCACCCTCTGTGAACAGCATCAGCAGGAAGAAAGAGACTCGGGGGTGACCAAGGCGCAGACAGACGGACGGATGAGCGTTCCTGGATGCTGCTAAGACTGGCGTCACCTGGAATAATCACGCAGCAAATATCTGAATCAGCTCTAGGCCTCCCTACCCTGGAATTTTTTTTTTTTTTCAGGATCTCAGAGCAGGGACATTTGTAATTTTCAAAAGCAAATTCAAAACTATAATTTTTATTGTTGAAAGGTGAACATGTAAAAAAAAATCACAAAGTAAAACAAAACAAGAATCCAAAGCAGTGTCTCATACTGTGAGCAAACAGCAAGAGAGTGGATGAGATTACCTGTGGGGCGTGCAGATGTCGTTTATATCTGACAGCCACTCATAGGAGACTGAGATGAAACTCAAAGTTACAGTGAGGGTAAGGGGTGTGTGTGTGTGTGTGTGTGTGTGTGTGTGTGTGCGCTCGCGCGCGCACTTCAAACTCTCTTTGGCCTGAACTCACCAACTAGGCAAGCCTAACCTTCCAGCCCAAAGGACCCGCCTTCCTCTGCCTCCCAGCATGGAATTACAGTCGGTGTCTCTGTGCCCTGCTTTCTGACTCAGGTTCTGTGCATCAAACTCAAACAGCCTCTCATGTTCGTATCTGACCCCAACCCTCCTTTGCATGGCAATCACCGTGACCACTAAAGGCTCTCCCTAGCCTGCTCCTGCTTACATTCTTTCTGACCACTCCGGTACACCGGTCTCTGCTCTGAAATATGATCGAAGGACCCCAGTTTTCAGCCATTTTTTTCGTTTGATTTTTCTTTTTTGAGATTGGTCTTGCTTTGTAGCCCAGGCTGGTCTCAAATTCTTAATTCTCCTGGCCCCGGGATTATAAACCCGAGTCACCTTGTTTGGCTCATTAACCTAATTTATCATATTCTTTCCAAACGGCGGGTTATAATATATTCCATTAGTGGCTCTGAGAAAACCTTTAAGTTGGCTACCACTTGTCGCTTTGTATAAAGTTTAATTAATTTTGAGACAGGGTCTCAAGCCGACGCTGCCTTTGGACTCCTGGTACCCCTCTCCTCTCCGTGCACACACAGCTCGTTTATACAGTGCTGGCGAGGCTCTCGGGGCTTCTCACATGCTAGGGAGTACTCCTCTCACGAACCTGGGCTGCTCTGCACACCGGCAGCCTTCTCAAGGTCTCCCACAAGCCTTTCCCTTCTGGGGAAAGTCGCCCAGCTTGGGTTGCTTCCTCCTGCTCCCAGGTCAGATGCCATCTTCTCAGGCTCTTGTTTCTTATCACTATACCAGGTCCAGGTGGGGGTGTGCAGGGACTTACAAGCAGGAGGAGGGATAAAGCGTGCTGGCGGCCCCTTTCCCTTCTGAGTTTCAGTTCGATGTCTAACCCAAGCACCTAGGAAACCACAGCAGCGCTATGCGGTCAGCCTAGGAGCCTCCTTTAACGGGGTTTGTTTATTTATTTATTTATTTATTTATTTATTTATTTGATGTAGGGTCTTACGGAGCCCTGTTGAACTTTGAATTACAGGTCCTCCCTGCCTCTACCACCATGACTGCCATTAAGCCGGGGTGTTTTTTGTTTTTTGTTTTTTGTTTTTGTTTGCTTGTTTTGTTTTCTGGACAGGGCTTCTTTGTGTAACAGCACTGGCTGTCCTGGAACTCGCTCTGTAGACCAGGCTGGCGTCGAACTCACAGAGATCCTCCTGCCTCTGCCACTGGAGTGCTGGGATTAGATGCGTTTCCACCACCTCCCAGGGACTGACGCGGAAGGGCAGGCACAGGCTCCGGAGAGCTTTGCTGTGCGGGCATCTCCCGCCTCTGTGCATCCCCGAGGGCCCTGGTGCCAGCAAGCCTGGCACAGCCCTGGGGACCGTCCCTTGGACTAGGGCAGAAGCGCGGGGGGTGGGGCGGCCCTCGGCCGCAAGGCGGTGGCAGGTGAGCAGTCTCCACTCCGCAGAAAGCCGGCCCGAGCCCCGCAGCCATCTTCGGGGCGGAGGCGGAGAAGGGGCGCGGCCTTGGCCGGGAGCCGCCCCGCCCGAGCGGCGCAGCGCGGACTTCCCTGCTCCTGCGGCGCCCGGCCGCGCAGAGGCCGCCATGGGCTGTGCGCGCTGGCTCGCGCTGGGCGGCCTCCTGGCCCTGGCGGGGCTGCTGCAGGCCCGGCTGCTGCCCCCGCACCAAGCGGGCTTCGGTGAGTGCGACCGCTTCTTCTACGCGGGGACCCCGCCCGCCGGGCTGGCGACCGAGGCGCACGTGAGGATCTGTCAGCGCTTCGCGGGCGCCGAGCGCTTTGCCACCCTGTACAGCCCGGGCCACCGCATCCCCGTGTTCTCCGCGTTTCGCGCCTCTCGCCCGGCGCTCGTTAGTGCGGAGCAGCGCGGGCTTCTGGAGCCGCAGGTAGGCAGGGTTCGGCCAGGGCCGGTGGGCGAATGGGTGTGGGAGACGGGACGGGACGGGAGGGGACGGAGGGACCCGAGGTTCAGATCCACTCCCCATCCCCCAGTTGCAGCCTGCCTTGCCCTGGGTGGGAGTCGCCACTTAAGCCGCTGCAAGGGCGGGAGGTCCCCTGGGGAGCTGGCCCTCCCTCCTTGCGGGCGCAGACGTCTGCAGCGTCTGGTTGGTTTCCTGGGTAGTAGGGACCTGGACTGGGAGACTGAGATCCACAGGAAGCACAAGCTTTCCAGGCCGATGCTTGTCCCATCTGCAGGCATTCATTGGGGGCGATGGGCAGGTTCATCCCACTTTACAGGATCAGGAGCTTGCAGACCCCCCCCCCCCCCAAGCTGGTGAGATGAGCTGGTCTTGAGGCTAGAACTGAGAATGTGGGCAGACTTGGAGAAGCTCAGTGGGGTAGTCCCCACGCAGGAAGGACAAACCAGTTCTTCCTGACTCCATATCTATAGATTATCAGACCCTTGGCAATCACGTCACCTTTCACAGTGCTGGGTCTGTCTGGTGGCAGGACTCACTCAGGCTTCTATGGGCCCTGCAGAACCTGCTGACTGGCTCTCCTGTGCCAGATCTCCTGCGACACCGACACCGTGCCCTGCCTCTCTTTGACCTCTCCCCAGCCTCCCAGCGCTGCGTGTCCACCCACGGCCTTTGGTTCCTGCTGGCCACCGTCACAAAAGTTCAGGGTCTCAGGTGGTTCCACCTGAGTGTGTGGGCTGTAACCTCTATCATATTTCAGGCTATCAGATCTTGGCCAGGCAGGTTCCCAGGCAGTCTGCGCCAATATTACCTCTTACATCCTTCCTTCCAGCAGCTTGTTAATCCGCAGGACCTGTGAAGCCAGGCCAGTGAGAAGTTACTGTCTTTGTGAATGTAGGGAAGACAGATGCCGATCTGAAATTACTTTCCCCCAGTGTGCCTCTAGAACCTAAGTTCTTTATGTGCCCTGGGTCTGGGAAGAGAGCAGCAACCTAGTCCATTCTTACCAAGGAGCCCATTAGCATCTGGAGGGACAAACCTACACAGGGTGACGTCATGAGAATTCTTAATACACCCTGATCGCACCCGCTGCCTGTCTGTGTGCATTGAAATCCTGCTTCCTCTAGACTAACTGTTGGCCCGTGAGGACTACAGGGTGGTAATAACATAGGATGCTTGGGGGTTAAGTGACTTCTGTGTGTTCAGTTCTCCGGAGGCACAGGGCAGTAAGTACTAGCTTCTCTTGTGCTGTTCACAGAACACATAATTTAACCAAGGTCAGCAGAGGCCTCTTAGACTTAATCCGTTGGTAAGGTGATACGGGAAGCTTTAGGGTCTGGCTGGCATTTGTGCTGAGCCTGGAAGGGTTAGGTGGGGTTCAGGAAGGAGAGGAAGAGGGAGGAAGAAGAGATTGCAGCTTGTCTTTGTATAGGGTGGGCGTGGCAGATTCTTGAACCCATCCTTGGGAATGATTGGGGCAGGTAAGCCAATACTGTATTATAAACTGTGGAACCCAAGGGCTCAGAATAAAGGGAGCCGTGGGAGGGAGGAGCAGGGGAAGGGGCCACCAGGGGAGACAGAGAGAGCCACGAACCTGCTATTAAGGGAGTCAGAGAGGACAGGGTTTGACGGGGAGGCTGTAGAGACCCTGAGTGGATTGATGTGGTGAGGCTATGGAGAAATAGAGGGGTAGAGCCGAGGGAATAGAATGGAAGCTGGAGCTGAGATGTCCTAGCTTCTGGAAGGTGCTGGAGTACTGGATTATGGCTCAGTGTTTGCCTGGCATGCACGTGGCTGTATGTTTTATCCCCAACACTGCATAAAATGGGGCTCATGCATCCAGTTCCAGTTCTAGCATTCAGATCAGAAGTTCAAGGGCATCCTCAGGCTGTATAGTGAGTTCCAGGCCAGCCTGGGCCACATGAGAATGTCTTAGATCAAGCAGCAAGCAAGCAAGCAAAGCCATTCATTCCTCTCCCCCAATGCTGTTGGAGAGTCGCCAAGGCTGAGAACTGAGGCCACTTTTCCCTGCAGTACCCTGCCTTGAAGTCAGCAAGGGGACCAAAGAACCCTGAAGGGAAGGAAAGGGGAGGGAGGGGACAGACGTGCAGGTGCCTTTGGAAACAACAGCAGGCTGTCCGCCTCTGTCCAAGACCTGCAGCTCAGCCAACGTCCGCCCGTCCGCCGCAAGTCCCGCTCTGGCCTCAGTGTGTACTTCTAGCTGCTTCCAAGAAGTTTCTGTGGCCAAGTCCTTTTGTACCCATAGCACCTTATGAGGTCAGCATGACCAAGATGTCCAGGAGGCAGGAGGCAGGCAATTCAGCACTGCCTATGACAATGAGTCAGGCAGGGTGGCACCAGCCCAGCTGGGCAGCCGGGCAGCTCTCTCACAGCCTGGCCCCTGAAAGAGGCCTCTGAATGGAAGATGCAGAAATGTCGTCGTTGGTGCCTAAAACCTTGGAGGCGGTGTACGTGTACTCAACACCCCGCGAACAAAGTTCAAGCAGCAGGCTGGGCACCTCCTTTCACAAGAGCCTTTGGGGGTTGGATCTTAGTTCCTGGCTAAGTTGTATCCCTTCTGTCACCACACCCCGCAGGAATGGAATGTTGCCCGGCCTGCATTACCTGTGGTCCCCTGGAATGCCTTCCTCACAGCTCCCACCGACCGACCTTGACCTTTCGCCTTCCCCCACTCTACCCTTACACCTTTGCCTGAGTATCTTTTTCCAGAGAACTCCGTACGGGACAGCCCTCCTCCTGAGTAAGGACCACACTCTTAGGCTCTCCTGTACTAGGCTCTCTCCTCATTCTCCACAGGGTCTTGCTGTGTAGCTCAGGCTGCCCTCATGCTCACTAGCCCCTGCCTGCACCTCTGTCCTATGGGGATTGCAGGCTTTGCTCACCGTGGCTGATTATTCTTTTCCTCCTCCCCCTCCTTCTGAGACAGGGTTTCCTTGTGTAGTCTTGGCTGTCCTGGAACTCACTCTGTAACCAGGCTGGCCTCTAACTCAGGGAAACCTCCTGCCTCTGCCTCCTGAGTACTGGAGTAAAGGCATGCACCGTCATGCCAGCTTTGATTTCTTCATTTTTGCACTTACTGCCGTGTTTTGTAATCGTCTAACCCTATTGTCTGTCTGTCTCCCCTGCTTGAGCCCTCGGATTCTGGCTGAGGATGTAGGACATAGGTTACTCACTTTTGCAGATGCAGAGTTTAGCACACAGAAAGGAGTTAACTAATAATGGATCAAATAACTGTGAGCCAGAGGATGGCGTGAGTGTGGCGTGGCGTGAGTGACTCTGTGTGGGTGCTTTTGGTGGGGTGTTTCCCTGGTCAGAAACTTGTCCTTATTGCTGGCAAGCAGCCCCTGCTGTCAACACATGTACAGGTAGAGCTCAGAGTCTTTCTCTGTGGCCTCCCATCCAGCACGAGCTCTCCTACTAGCTCAGAGCCTTGGGGCCTTGGTTTCCATCTGTGCCCACAGGCCCCAGAATCCCCAGCCCTACATCCTGGTGATAGAAAGCTTTGAGATACAGAAAGAGCAATGTAGAGAAAGGCCTGCCGGAGAAAGACTCACCTTTCAACCTAACGTGGACGGATGGTGAGAGACGGGGACATGACTTCCCATGACTACCCTGTCTGGGGACATTCCACCCGAGACTCCAGAACCTGAGAGCAGTGTTGGATTCAAGGAACAGGGTTGTCCAAATCTTCAGTGGCAAACGGAATAATTTTATATATGATACCAATGATTTCCAAAGTATACTCATGCCCAAATCATGCATGAAAGGCCTTATTTTATAAAGATGAACATTAAAGGGAATGGCCTTTCAGCCAGTGATGGCACTGGATATCCACTGAGCTTAGAAGATACGTTAAGATAGATTCATCGCCATCTCCTCATTGTTGACACTAGGAAATTGGTTCAGAGAGGTTAACTGGTGTCTGAGGTCACACAGCTTGGATCTCAACACAGGACGCATTGCTTCTAGTCTAGAGTTCTTTCCATGTGCTTGGGGATTGTCGTGTCTCCTTCGTGTGAGAATCTGCATTTCTCCTCTTTCCCACTGCCACAGGCGAGTGGAAACACGCACATGCAGAAATACTGTCGAGCTTCAGTGGCTCTGCAGTGCTGGGGCTGTTCCCAGATGACCTGGCGACGTTATATTTCATATTTCAGTGAATGCACACGAAGTTTCCCCCTTAGAACACCGACTCCTCAGTCTCTAGTTTCTGATGGTTGCTTCCTCCCTACACACCCAGGAGCAGTTGGCCACATATTTTACTGTCACCTCAGCCCCCTCTTCACTGCACCAGAGAACAGGTGTGTAGAAGCCACCACACTGAAGGCTCTATGTACAGCTTAGTTTAGATTCCAGGCCTGCTGTGTGACCTGGTGTCTGAAGCAATAGTGGCGTCCATTGTAAAGTGGGATTGTGAAAATAAACAAACCAGTATAGTAGGCATGCAGTGTAGTTGGGACTATAGAAAAATGTAGCTAGGATTAATGTGTATACTTTGTCACTATTTAAAGGGTGCCCAGTAATCACAAATGCACACGCTATGTAGGTGCCTTTTGCACAACCACATAGATCCCTCAACGTGAATGTTCTCAAATACTCTACATCCCACATTCATATCTATTGATGTTTAGTAAGGATCAGGAGAGACTAATAGGCCGAATAGATGTTTATTCAGGGAGAAAAAACTTACAACATAGTCAGATGAACACCAGCAGGTTCCTGGTCCCCAGGATGCTTCCGGATGTCCTCCTGTCCCGTGCTGCAAGCAAGAGAGCTCTCTGAGCCCCCTCCTCAGCCTTAGTCCCCCCCCCCATCACATCCCACCCTGTCTCCACCCCCAGTGGGCGTGGTCTATGCCACAGGTGCAGACAAGGTGAATATCACTACACATGTCAGTACTCAGCATGTGTGTAGGGAGAGTCTGAAGGAGTGAAAAATCAGATGGA